TTTACAGAGAACTCATATAACTTAACAAAAGGAAGATAAACGATCCAATCAAAAAATGGTCAAAGGATCTAAATAGACACTTTTTGAAAGAGAACATAGAGAAGGCCCAGAGACATATGAAAACCTGCTCAAAGACACTAATCATCAAAGAGATGCAAATCAAAACAATGAGAAATCATCTCACACCTATCAGAATGGCTAATATTGACAAATCAACAAACGACAAGTATTGGCAAGGATGTAGAGAAAAAGGAACCCTCCTGCACTGCTGGTAGGAATGCAGACTGGTGCACCCATTGTGGAAGACAGTATAGAGTTTCCTCAAAAAGTTAAAAATGGAACTGCCATTTGACCCAGTAATCCCACTTCTAGGATTATATCCCAAGAAACTAGAAACACCAATCAGAAAGGATATATGCACCCCTATGTTCATAGCAGCACAATTTACCATAGCTAAGATTTGGAAACAGCCTAAGTGTCCATCAGCAGATGAGTGAATTAAAAAACTATGGTGCAGCTACACAATGGAATACTATGCCACTATAAGAAAGAAGGAACTTTTACCATTTGCAACAATATGGATGGGACTGGAGAGCATTATGCTAAGAGAAAATAGCCAGTTGGAGAAAGATAAATATCACATGATCTCACTCATATGTGGAATATAATGATCAACATAATTTGATGAAGAAGAATAGAATGATCTAGAGACAAATGGTGGTGGGGGGGGGGTGAGAGAGCAACCAAAGGACTTGTATGCATACATATTAGCATAACCAATGGACACAGACACTGTGGCAGTGGGGGCTTGCCTGAGGTGGGGATGGCTGGGGGAAGGGGGAGGGGCGGGGTCAATTTGGGAAAAAGGAAATATATGTAAAACTTTAGACAATAAAAAAAAAAGGTAACCAACCCGTATGGTGTGGCTCAGTGGTAGAGTATTGACCTATGAACCAGGTCATGGTTCGATTCCCAGATTGCAGGCTCAATCCCCAGTGTGGAGTGTGCTGAAAACAACCCATCAATGATTTTTTCTCATCACTGATGTTTCTCTCTCTTATTCCCTTCTCCCTTCCTCTCTGAAATCATATTTTTATATATATGATTTTTTTTTTTAAGAAAGGGTAACCAGCACAAATTGACCATGAACAACTTATTCTCATTTTCTTATTTGACAGCTCACTAGATGGTAGTCAGAGCAGGGCAGAGTTTATCAAAAGCCTGAATTTTACCAAAGTATTCTGTCAACATGAAACTTAATATTTACTGCAATGAGGCCAAATGTATACACTGAACAATAGAGATCTGCAGACATCTGTACTTCATCCCAGACTCTAATCTGAAAAATAAATGAAACTAAAAGCCTGACCGGCCTCTAATCTATTTTTTTGTACCTTTATTCCCCTATTTAGGGCTTCAGAAAACATATCTTCATCTGCTGCATTGAGGCCCCTTGGGAGAGACCTCACCTCCCTAGAGAAATCCATGGATGTGAGAGTTTTGGTTAACAGATGCTGATGGCTGGGAGGCCAGACATCAACTTTATATATAAATGGCATTATGTTGTAATTGGGAAAAAGTAAAGGTAGTATAAATATTAGATAAGATGAAAATGCACTAAAGTGGAAAAATAGAGATAACTTGATTAGAAAAACATATTTAACAGTTTGTATAGTTTAATATAATTTATTACATATATGGTGGCATATATATGTGTGTATAATAATTGATTCATTCAATAAATATTTATCAAATACCTACTATATAGATACCACTTAAATATCACTTACTCTCTGCCCTCAAGGAACTTGTCATGTCTTAAGAGAGATGTATATTCTACTAAACATGTAAGTCTTCCTTATTTAAGGGCCATAAATTACTAAATGCTTTTCTCTTATGAATAAAAGAGGTAGGCTATTAGTTTGCAACTACTATTCATTATATTGAGAAAAAAATATTTTTATTCCTACTTTACTAAGTTTTAAAACATGGGGATAGATGTTTAAATTTCTCAAGTAGCATTTTAGTATATATTGAAATTATACTGAATTATGGAAATACATTTTCCAACACTAAAATATCTTTGACTTTTTAAGTCAATGCTAAATTACTCATAGCATGATATCCCACTAATATTGTGCTGAACTCCAAATCCATACAGTATAGGTAGGATTTTTTTATATCTATGTTTATAAGTAAAGCTAGTCTTTCACATATTTTATGAATAATACTGAGCATTGTATTTGCCCAGTATAATTAACTGAGAAATGATTAATTAGTTCTGCCAAAGTTGTTTAAGACAATGCAAAATACCACAAAATGTAAATTATAAGTGAGAAGCAGGCCATAACAGCAGAAGCAGAAATTGCAAAACAAATTGTGATACTTCAAATTTACAAAAATTAAATCATGCTACTATAATTAAAAAATTATTATACATTCCAATTCTCTTTTAAGCTTTTTTAAAAATCAAGTCAACTGCTTAATTATTTATAAATTAATAAGAGAAATCTTGTTACACTTGATTTTTTAAAAGCTAACTTTTTCTTTATAACATGTTTAGCCCAGATGCCAGTTTTCAAATTAACCACTTATAGGGATTATATAAGAAATATTTACCAATTTGACTCTGTAAAAAAAAAAAATGTCAATTTTGGTTTGAAATATTGGCAAATGAATGACAGAATTTATGTGCACCTGTAGGACCAGATGTGTTAATTTGATCCATAAGTTATCTTCTGAAAGATTTTCCATTTTTTAGAGTCCAAATTCCACATAAAAAGTCAAATTTATGACTGCAGAGTTATATGCTAAGGAATCACCACGCTCTTTTCCAGTCTCATGTTTTATGAAGTGCTAATCGGAATTGTTTCAGATATGTTTCTTCTAAGGAAAACACATTCCAAGTGGAATTTTAACAACAAATATAATATTCTCCTGAAATTTGACTCTCATGTCTATTTTATGGGAGCAAAAACATAAATTTGTGTGGAATTTTCTTAAGTTCAAAACAAGGGCAAGACTTACTAAGCTATTCCTCATGCCTTCTCTCCAAGCAAATTTTGTGCTTAGTTTTTCTGCAAAACCATCGTTTCCTCAATGCCAATTTCCTTGCCTTCCTATGAAACCTACACTTAGCAAGGAATTTAATCATCGACTTCAAGTTGTCTCTACTCATGCCAGGACGATCCTATAAAGAACTGAAGCTAGTTGGAGTTTGTGTGGGATAGGCCTGGATAGCACTTCCTCCAAAGTGATTTCTTGAGCTAATAAAAAAGTCATCTAAGGAAGGGGGAAATATGAAGAATGATGGTTTCTGAGAAGGGGAAATTGCTGCTGTCCCCAGAATGCTAACAGCACAGGTCAATTCTCTCCAGAAAGTTTTCAAAAGGGTTCATCAACTGTGAACTCAGTAACAGGTCTTAATACTGCTAACTGCAGCCCTTGAAGCTAAGCATTAATGGACACTACACCATCATTGCATAGAAAGAGGCAAATATATTAACTTAATGATAGACCCATGAACCCACTAAGGAATGTGATTATATTATGCCAGCTAGCTCTTACAACAATATTAGATCTTACATAACTGTGTTGTTATTATTATTTTTTCTTTCCCCTCAAAGACCTTTTGAAGCATTTGAAGAGGAAGATGAGAGAAGACATGTGCCGCCCCAAATCACAAAGGCAATTTGCTAAAATAAACCACAAAAACCTCTACTTTCCTTCTTTTCAAATTGAAAGCAGTGGCCATTGGTTTTAAAAGGCCCTATCAAAACAAAATACATACTCAAGTCTGAAACATACCAACAGGCTGATAGGGGTTCAGTAATTACAATCTCACATGTTGGTTTCAGAAAAAAAATAAAATAAAAACAACAGCCATCCCACACTTCAGGCTAATATTAAACTATACCCTTTCCATATTTTTCTCTACCCACATTGACTATATGGAGACAATGCACTTTCAGAAGATAATTCTTATGATAATGTATAAGAGAAAAAAGAAAAAATGCAAAATTTTATACCTTGCCCCCAGTAACACATATAGTAACAAGAATTATACACAGGTAGACAGGGTTAATGGTCACAAATTGCCAACCCACAGGCCAATACTGGCCCACAACTACTTCTAACAAAGTCATGGCCATTTAACGTTTAGGAGGTTATTGCACAAATACTTGAATTTTTAGCTTCTCGTGGAAAATGGAAAGATGTGAAAAACTGGGCCCATATTCCCACATAAGCTCAACCAGCCTGAGCTGTGAGGAGACCATCTGGCCTTTATAAACAAGGTATTTGCTAACCAGTTGCCACAAGTCCCCCGGCCCCACTCACATCAGCTGTGTATGTGCACCTGCTTGTGGGAATCCTGGTGAAGGCAACTGCATTAAGAAAGTTACCAGACTCCACATATATCAATGAGCCTTCTCCTTTCCCTCTTCACATCTTTACCTTTTGGATATCCTTTCAGGGGGGTCAGTTAAAGAATGTCTAGATCTGTTTTCAGAAGTTATATAATCTTCCAGGAGCCACGGTGTAATAAAAAATGGGCAAATTGACTCACAAAACAGAGCAGTGAACCCTGGTGATCATCATAATGAGTAATAACAATAGAAACACTTTGGGGACTGAGTTCTCAAATTAGACAGCTCTAGTAAGAAACTGAAAATATGCTTGGAAAAATGAAACTCAGGTTCAGAAAGATTCTCATGGAAGCCAGCACCGAAGGAAGATAATGAGAACACAGGTATACATTCATTTTGTCCTGGGTCCTTCCCTGCTTCCTTTTAAACCCAAGCTAATGGCTATGTTAATTAGCTCACTCAAGGAAGGAGATATATATATATATATATATATATATATATATATATATGATTCCTATTGTTCAAAATCATTGCTATACAAATAAAATAGCAAGCTGTCATCAAGTTAAACATAAAATGACTGAGTATACAGGTGCATGCATACACGCCCATTTATAAAGGGGCAATTCTTACCTTGTTATGGGTCCCAGGTCACCTGAGTCTTGGCTTCCAGCTTCACTGGGAGTGCTCACTGATTTCGAGGAGGGAGACATAGGGGTTGGGACTAAATAATGAAAATCACAGGTATCCCATGTTAAAAAATGCAGCGACTGCACTGAGAAGAGCAGTGTCAGACAAATCAAAACAAATGGACCCAAATTAACGTGGTCATATGGCCAGGAGAAATTGAGATGGGATATGGAAAACCAAACAAAAAAGGAAAGAAAAGGAAGAAAGTCAAGTGAATTTTATATATTTTGGAAATGAAAATCTGAAATGAATTTAGACAGAATTAATGTAGGGATTCTAAGGCCATGTCCACCTTAACAAAATTAAATGGAGAATCAAAATAGTTATCCAAATAATTCAAGTCAAAAATCTCTCTGGTATGAACTATCCAGATAATTCCAATTCTCCACTTGATTTTGTTAGCATAGATGTGACCTATTAAAAAATAAAATGGAGTGTCTGTAAAACTTTACACGATGATGAAATAAGTTATTCTGGATCATTTAAATGGTCAAGAAGGTTCGGTAAATTCTGTCTGCACTTGGAGGGAAATCTATCATCCGTGGACTATAAACGGCATTTGCTGAGAGAAGCAAAGTGAGGAAGGAGGGGTAAATGCTGAACCTGGTAATTTAAAAATCTCTTTCAAAACAAAGAACCATGTCAGGATGCTTTATTTTTACATGTAATTAATAGTTTCATCCTCTTGTACTGTTTACTGTGTTTGGGACTTGTGTTGCTCGCCTCTGGCAGCTCTCGATGGCACTGCCATGAGCACACAAGCAAACTGCCATTCTGAAGACAGGAGACAAAAGTTCAAAGGTCAAGATCAGTGCGAGCTGAGAAGCTGAGAGCAAGGATAACACAAGCAGAAAGCTAAAGAAAATGCAAATGTATTTTTTTTTCCCTCTAGCTTTCCAATAGGAGCCAAATGTCCATCAAGACAGAAGCTGCACCAAATAAGCACGGCGGCTCCAGGCCAGGCAAATTCAACGGGTTCTCAATCTCACACGTGCCAAAGACGCCAGGTGGGCAGCAAGACACGCCAGTCCCTGAGTGCAGATTCCCATTTGGTTTCAATCATGGGCAATTTCCTTTTATTTATTTAATAGGGGAAAGGGTTTAACTATTTTGTCCAAATCCTACAACACAATGGCAGATCTGTCAAGAAACTAGGAATTTTCATGTGGTTCCATAATTAATTCACTGATTATCCTCACAGTAAGTCAGAGGGTAAGTCAGGGAGATGGATGAAAACTCAAAATGGGGTCCACGGTTGCCAAGACCTATTGGTTGGGATGCAGGGACAGTTCCCTAAGCTAAAGTTTAGGGATATTTAACTGTTTTATCCTTAAAGTTTATTTACTGGCTTTATGTGGGGCAGAGAAGAAGAGGACATATTACTATTGTGCTTAACCAGTGTTCGTTCACTTTGCAACAAACTTTCCAAAGCTATTTTAAGGGGAAAATATAATTGATTACAAAGCATCTAATTTATATTGCATGTCAATTAAATACAAATAAGTTTGTCAACCTCCTCAAAAAAAGTCTATTAGTCATATATCCCACAGGTTATATCTTCCACAACATAAGAAGCTCAGCAAAATAATCAATATCTTATTGGGGCTTATGATAATCATTATTAGATATGACTTTACCTACTACAACTTGAGGTTGACTATAGAATGCTTTCTCATGGTGTTTTAGTTTTGTGTGTATATATTAAATTATACTCAGCAACACTTGATAATTTGTAGGCTTATAGAATACTGCTCTTTTTCTTATCTACATTGATATAAATACTTGTTATTGCATTGCACATGGGATAATTTTTGTTCTTAGTTTAAGTAACTATGGAAATCAGTAAAAACTTATTTTAAAATAAAAGCCAATAATAAAATTCAAAGAAAACAGATTATTTTTAAAAAGGGACCTGATATTGTACTTATTTATCTGTATTATTTTAAGAGTTTTTAAAACTATATTGGATATTACATAGTTTTACAGACACCCTAAAATTACTCTGCACTGTAAAGAAAGCAAATGGATAAAGAAAAATTCAAAATAACTTATCCCATAAGAAATATATAGTTAAGTGACAGAATAAACATGTTATGTATAGGTTACCTTCAACACAAATAAAACAAAGAGTTCAATATCCAGCCCCGAGTGATAAAATGAGATCATGGACAATTAGTTAGGAATGAATGAGCTGAAGCAAGGGTATTACAGCAAAAATGCCAATTAGCAATAAAACCAAGATATACAATAGAATCAAATATATTTAAACTTGTTAGCTGATCACCTGCCATTTTAAATTTTCCTTCAAATTTCCCACTGAGCATTCCATTTTCATCAGAGGATAACTGGTCCTGTGTTTATGAAATTCATAACCAGATTTACCATAGTTGAGGGGCTGGAATTCAGCAATGGAAATGAAGAGCAATTTAAGACAAAAATTCCAAGATTTCTTGTATTTACCACATGGCAATTCATTTATCGAATATGAAATAACCTAAAACCGTGGAGACAGTTGGCCACGTGATTGGTCATGAAGCAGCAAATTGTGAACAACTCTACAACTCATCCTTCCCATCGCCTTCCAGCCTCCTCCATTCCAAAAATAAATACACCTGAAGCATAAACGAGCCACAGAATTTCTTAAAAAATAAAAATGGCATAAAAGAATAGTAAACGCTGGACATGGTATATCCCACGCAAGTCGAATTTCAGGAAACAGGAACACAGAGCTCTTTCAAGTACCTAGAGGGGGCTCCGGGGAAATGCCGATGCTCTGCAGCAAAGCCTCGGTCTCTCGGCGCTTGCGATCCAGGTCTGTGTCGTCCTGAACAGGTTCTTTCTTCTGCTGCATATCAGCCTTTAAAAAGTAGATGCCAGCAAGAAAAGTTAGTAATCAAACTGCCCGTGTGCTTTTCCTGGCTGAAACTGAAATGGTAAATGCTTGGGCAAACCCCTAAATAGACATACTCGTGTAAAAAGGATGCGAAAAGACTGTGACTGCTCCACTTCATAACTGCTAACCTCCCTGTCCCTTCTGGGAAAACATACTATCAGTTCTTGATGGTTGTGTGTTTGTAATACTCACCCCTATACCCCTCCCCCACTATACTCACCCTCATACCCCTCCCCCCCCCCACCATGTTTGAGAATATGCAAAAAAGAAATTATTGGGATCTGGTTAAAAAATAAAATTGGCTAGGAAAATAAATCACTGTAAAACACACTATTTGTACCAGCAATCTACATTTACCATGATTTACAATAAACCGGGCTAAAATGTTTTCAAGGCATGTAAATAATATTAATGTAAGTCTTACTAATTGTTACTTTTGACTTGCATCGGCTTCCATTATACATATTAACTCAGGAGAGAAAATTGTAGTGTAGAAAAATATAATACAAAAAATCATGTAGGAGAACTTTCTTTGCCAAATTCTGTCTAAAAATATATCTTGTGTGAGCTTCTTATGGTCAACCCTATGCCCAGTATGCATTTTACAGGAGAGTGACAAGTCAAAACACAGGTTAAAGAAGTTCAGTGATTGGGTTCTGGGGGAATTTAAACATTGAGGGATTTTTATGTTTGTTTTTTGTGAGTTTTTGTTTTGTTTTTTTCCATAACATGGTTACTTCTTAAGACAAAGCATTTCCCCCATATCTGAAATTGGATAACATCCTATTTGGTGTGCAGTTACGTCCCTACAAAGCTTTGTGAGTTTAGAGAGGTGAGAGTGTCCTAAAGTTTGTAAAAAACCAATGATGCAGTTATCAGACCCACTTTCTCCCCAGGGGCAAGCTGGGCATCCTAACAGGGACATTACCTCCTCCAGGAGTGCAAAGGACATTTTGAAGCAATGAACCGTAATTTACATCCTGGCATCTACAGCAGAGAGTTCGTGCACTTCTGACTTACTCCCAATTGGTAACCTATACCCGGATTATAAGCAAAATGTATCTTTGCACATAGTGCTGAGCTCAACACTTGTGATTCTTAGCCTCTGGCTTAAAGGACACTTTTAATTTTGGAATCTACCTGTCATTAGAGGAAAAACAGCCATTATAGGGGTGGATGAGAGCTAATGAGAAGTGCAAGAGGATTTTCAGCAATCTCACATGACCCAAAATTCCACAATGGCAGTTTAATCTCTAAGTGAAGATAGTACAGTTCATGTTCTTTTCTGATTGTAATATTTAAACTACTGAAGCAAGTTCCAAAGTTTATGCGTACAACAGAGGCAAAGGTAGAACTAACGTGAGAAAAAGGACCTTGCAGAGTGAGGGTATCAACATTCGCATATCTTTTAAAGGCAAAAGAAAGGTGGAAGGAAAAGGGAGGCAATGAAAAAAAGGGAATTACCATAGCAGCTACTGAAACGCAAATGAAAAAAAACCAAGGTAAGCAAAATTCATCTTAGGAAGCCAATATGGAATTGTATAATTGGTTTTACAGTGAAGAGGTAAGCCACAGCTGGACCATCAGCTTTATTGAGAGCAGATTACGTGTTTCTTTTGTTCACCACTACAGCCTCACATCTAGATCAGAGCCTGACACATAGTAAATGCTTGATAAAAAGTGTGTTGAATGAATGAATGAATATCTGACCTTGGAAAATGTTATTCTGTAGCTATAGAATGCTTTACAATGGTACCCCCTTCAGAAAGCCCTTTACAACACCACTGTTGAAATTTTAGTCACCTAAACTTTCAGTGACCCCATGCTCATGACAAAGCCATTTCTGTATTCTAAGATCAAAAACAAGAAATTAACCTTCCCTCATTCTTTCAACAAAAACTTATTAAAGGACAACACAGAAATTCTAATGCAGCTTATATAGCATGATCAGATAAACTTAGGGCATATTATCTGTAATTATTTATCATGTATGTCCTATGCAGAAAGGAATAGGATCTGTTTCTTTTCATTTATTTTAATGTTAATCACTAAGCTCTCAAGACACATACTATCAGGTAAATCACATGTCAACATGCATGCATTGTGCAAAAAAAGGACACCTGAATTCCACCTCCAAAATTTCATGGCCAAATACGAGGTGTCTCTAAAATTCATTCCTTGCCTTCTACCTTTTTTTTTTTTTTTAAGATTTTTGAATTGATTTTTAGAAAGAGGTTAAGGGAGGGAGGAAAGGAGGGAGGGAGGGAGGGAGGGAGGGAGGGAGGGAGGGAGGGAGGGAGGGAGGGAGGGAGGGAGGGAGGGAGAGAGATACATTGATGCGAGAGCAAAACATGGATCAGCTGCCTCCTGCATGCTCCCTACCAGAGATCAAGCTTACAACATGGGTATTTATCCTGACCAGGAATCAAACTGGCAACCTTTCGGTACATGCGATGACATTCAACTGCCTGAGCCACAACAGCCAGAGCATACCTTTCTTAATTCCTAAGGAAATAGAGAATATAATATACATATACATATACATATACATATACATATACATATACATATACATATACATATACATATATACCTATAGCCTAAGTGACCGGATGACTGGATGACTGACTGGCCAGTAGCTATGACATGTATAAACTACCAGGGGACAAATGGTCAATTCAGGAGATGCCCCTTAATGGTCACTGCGCTCCCACGATGGGAGTGCCGCTCAGCTGACAGATGGGTGCCAGACACCAGGCTCAAGGCTGGTGAGCACAGCTGTGGCAGTACAAGCCTCTCCCGTGGACACTGCCCCTGCCAGCCTGAGTGACAGCAGCAGGCACAGTGGGGCCAGGATGAGCGGGAGCGGCACTGCGCCCAGCCCAGGCTCCAGCTCCACTCCGGCTGCCTGCTGCTTCCCGCACTACTTCGTGCTGTGCAGGATCTACCTGGACAGCGGGCTGGAGCCTGAGGAGCTTGTGGGTAAGGCCGAGCTGTGGTGGTGCAGAGGTCCACTGATCCCCGCAGGCCAGGCCGAGGGACCCCATTGGGCCTCTAGGGACGTATATAAATAAGGACAAATGTCCATCTAGATGTAACAGAAGCTCAGGAAAGGTATCAATGTTCAAAATTGATTATGAAAAACGTAAAATTAGGTTACTGGGGCTTATCCATAATAATAAAAGCATAATAAGCTAATTAGACCGGACAGTCGAACGACCTTCCAGACGAAGCTGGGGCTGTGAGGGCCAAGCCCCTTGCATGAATTTCATGCATTGGGTCTCTCGTTGAAAATAAAGGCAGGTTGTGTATGCTATCAATTAGCACCTTAAACTAAACAAAATTTTACTTCATCTAAAATAGTTATACCACATACCCTAATCATGAAACTTTCTATTTCTTTCTTGTAAATACTACAGAATCCTAATGTGTTTTAATGAATTAATATAGAGTGATTTCACAATACTGGTAATTAAAACTATGCTAGAGGTGCCTTCCCCGAGGAATGACATTTCTGCTTGTGAAGAGTTATTACAGCTGAGATCCAGAGGGAATAATCACCAAAGAAAAATGATCAGCTGAGAATTATCAGTCACTTCTCCAAAGACAGCTCTGAGGGTATCAGAGGAACAAGCGAGGACAGGCCAGGAAACGCCTGTCCATCCTACCCTGCAGTCACTCGGCAGAAGGCCAAGGACAGGACGGAACTTCAGGGTGGCCCCATTAAGCACACCTCATCGCACTGAGGCCAATTTTTCATGAAATTGGGTCTGTGTCTTGAATGGTGGCCACTATATTTATTTTAAAATCAGGTTTCATCCATAATGCCACAGCCAAGAAAGCAGTTGACATGCAAAAGAGTGAACAGTGGTAATTTTATACATGTACACAGTTTTCTGGATTCTGTGGAGACGACAATCAACCTGGGTGGTCCTAACGCACACTAGGTTTCAATCATGGCAAAAACAGTTAGGCAGAGTGGCATCAAAGTTCACTTTGTTCCCTTTTTATTCCGAATTTGTTTTATTTACAATATGAGCCCCAAAAAAGTTAAAAGGCAAACCTATATGCTTAAGGCTATTTCTAACTGGTTATAAACAGCATACAAACTAGAGAATCTCCAGGAGTCAATGAGAGTAGCCAATCGACTAGAGTATCCCATAGGATCAGAAGGGTCCATGTAAATCTGTAGGACATAATCCCAGATGCATGGGAAGGATGTTAGTAACTAACATCTGAGGTCTGCATGCAGACCAGCATATGAGGTCTGCCCTAACTAGTTTATATATTCATTCATTCACTCATACAGCTATAATACAAATCAATAATATAGTAGTTAGTAAATAATAATACAAGAATAACCTCTTGGGTGGGAAGATCAACCAATGAACTTGTATGCATATATGCATAAGCTATGGACACAGACAATAAGCTGGTAAGGGCCTGGGGGTAGGGACTGGAGTGGGCTGGAAGAAGTTAATGGGAGAAAAGGAGGACCTATGTAATACTTTCAACAATAAAGATGAAAAAGAAGAAGGAGGAGGAGAAGGAAGAGGAGGAGGAGGAGGAAGAGGAGCAGCAACTGTTCTGTGTACTTAAAACTGTAAGCCTACTTTTGTCCACCCCTGTATAACCTTTAACTAAAGGCCTACTGTTAGAGACAAGACCTACGCTAGATATTGACTCAGTGATAAAAAATAAAAAAATAAAAAAAAAATCCAGCCCTGTTCTCAAAAGTTCACACTCTATTAGAAGAGAAAGACAAGTGAGGAGGCAAATCTAATGCTCTGTGCTAAATGGTTTGATAAGGTTCAGGACTCAGTTAGTCCTGGAGGCAGAATGGCACCCCAGGAGACTTCCTGGAGGAAGCGGCATTTGAGAACTGAAAGACATGGAGTTAACAGCCAAGGGAAGGACACTTGAGAGAAGTAGAACAGTAAAAGCAGAGGGAAAACATTCACAAAGCCCAGTCAAGCAGGAGCAGGGCCCACGGGAGATGTGTAAGTAGCTAAGCCTGTCTGGAATGTGGGTTTTAGGGAGAAGGAAAATCGGGGTGAAAATGGTGTGCCTGCCCAGGCCCTGATGATCATTGTAGTAGATTGGGGAAGGGAGTGGTGAAAGAATTACCCCGGATTTCTGCTTTGGACAACTGCCTGAAAGGGGGGTGGGCCTGAGCCTAGAGACAGAGGGTGGCTACCAAGAAGGCTCAGTTCTCTAGGATTTTAAGAGCATCTGAAAAGGAGGGATCAGAATAGATTACTTCCAGGTTTCTTTTCAGCAGCAAAATGGTACAATCCCAGGAGACGAGAGGCCTTGAATGATAAGATTTTTCCAATAATGGGGGTACTTTCAGAAAGTGGTCCACCAACAGCGATCCTAATAAATGCACACAGCCAATCTACGTGATTGTCTTCTCCTCTGACAGCTGATCTCAGAAGCAGAATCACAGCTCTGTGTCTTTCCCTGTCCTACAGTGTCTCCTGGGTCCTCACAGAGCATGTGAGAAAGGCACCACTCTTCTCTCCATTTCACAGAGGAAACCGTCTCAGAGCATCCCACATCCACTCAGGGCAGAGCTGTGAAGCAGAGCCAGCTCCCAGCAGGTCTACACAGAAGCCTGTGTGCATAACCCCTGAGGTCACTGTCTTTGGCCCACTGGCTGCTCAGACAAGCCAAGTCTTCCCAGTCTAAAAAGGTGCTTAGGCTGAACTGAGGAAAACGCTTTTTGGGGTAATGAGTTGTGGGGGGATAAGACCCATAGCCAGGGCCAACCTTTAAGATGATGTAGTCCAAGTGAATCCCCAAACCTGGCCCCATTAGGATCTTTCCAATTAAAAACTCTGAGATGGGTCGAAACCGGTTTGGCTTAATGGATAGAGCATCGGCCTGCAGACTGAAGGTCCAAGGTTCGATTTCGGTCAAGGGCATGTACATTGGTTGTGGGCACATCCTCAGTATGGGGTGTGCAAGAGGCAGCTGATCAATGATTTTCTCTCATCGATGTTACTAAGTCTCTAGCCTTCTCTCTGTAAAAAATCAATAAGATATACTTAAAAAAAAAATCTGAGATGGGAAACTGTGACTCTGTATTACCAGGGCGTCATGGGTTTAAACCACCCTGTCCGTGGGGAAATGAGGACAGGAAGACTATGGGACTTGAACTCCAGAAGTAGGTAAAGGCCCAGGATCGCCTGCGAACCAGGTGTTCCACACTCCCAGCCCTGTCTCCCCCAATCTCCCAGGCTCCGTCTGCTGTGCCACAAGCCAACTCTCCAGCCGGCAAAGCTGCTCGGTGCCGCCACAGAAAGGGTGGCCTGTTTCCATCAGCCTGAGCTGACAAAGATGAAGCAGACCATGCAATTCAGAATCAGATTTCCCATATCACACGGCATTTTTGTGGTAATTCCGTGAAATTCAAGTTGGATATTAGAATGTCAGTTTAAAAGGAAACTGGTTATTAGTAAAGGAAAACAGGTGCTTGAAAACCACCGTGAACGTTGGCATGTGAGGGAAAGGAAGCATAATAACTTAATGCTTTTTTTCCCCGCTTTGCGTGTAAATGAATAGCCATTCCCTGTCAATTCTCACCTCCACGCCACTCAAGACTGTGTGTAAACCAGCAAAGATCTCCAAAGGAAAAACATTATGCACACTGTCAAGGACAAATAAACTATGGCATCAATCACAGTGGAATGGAATGGAGAAATGCAAGATGCCAGAAGGCTAATATGCAACTGTAATTACGCTTTACTTTGTCGGAAAATAATTGTTGTAATCTGTTACTTGGGTCTCCCAAGCCTTTTACAGGAGTGGGGGATGTCTGGCCACGGGCTGGGCTGTCTGAGGCCTGCAAAAGCATTTGGTCTGGCCCTGCCAAGGCATTGGGGGTGAGTCAATTAAATGTTTGACCAAATACAGTAGGCTAAGTCTTAAGCTGATAATTTTATATTGCCCTCAAATGTTGTTATAAATATCCAACTGGCCTTTGGCAGAAAAAAGGTTCCCCACCCCACCTTAAGAGTATGAAGCCACACTTATTTAAATTATGAGGCATCAAAATACATTCTCTTTTCCTCTAAATTTTTCTTTTGTAAGTAAGGAAGCAGCTCTGGTTTCTATACACATAAGCATCTACTATACAAAGTTTCCTTCTTGGAAAAGTATTCCAAAATATCTTTAGCACCTAATTTTTGTACAAGGTGTGGGCTATTTCTACACTTTATATCAAGTATGATAAGAGGTGTTTTTTTTTTAGAGGGTCCTGTTTATCAGTATGACCCACCCCTCAGAATTAACTAATTTTCCTTCCCGCACCCCACACCCCGACACCCAGGATTTACCTCTTTTTTTTTCCTCTCCTCTTCCTTCCTTTTCTTCTCTTCTCTTATCTGTGCCAAGCGCTGTTTTTTGCGCTCTAGCTCAGCTTTTAAGTCACTTTTGTCAGACATGTTGGTTTCCTTGGAGGCAAAGAAAAAAAACAAAAAACATGAATTTATAAAAATAACTTTTCTGCATTATCATTGCAAAAATTATTCAAAAGGAAACCCAACTTTGGGCAATAGCAGGTTGTCTTCTTTAGCCTATTTCCCAGAATCAAAGAAACAGGTTGTTAGATCTGGTCTCATGCTATATAAAATCTTCCCCCTTTTACGTATATATAAATATTTGCAGAAATACAAATGTTATAGTCCGTTCTGGCCTAACAGATAACAGTAATTTCAGAATAAGCAGCACATTTTCTGTAAGAGTTTCTTAAATAAACAAGCAATAACTAAGTAAAGAGAACCAAAAAGAACCATCATCATGACTTTCACTTTAGATGATAATGGATCAATTCATGCCCACGCGGAGAAAAGAAAATAGACTGTCATAAACCCTTAGAGACATGTCCTGCTCAAACTCCTACAGACTCAATAAACATTTCTCCACTGACCTTGGACACACGAAGATTTCATGTTGCTTAACGTTATATGCATCAGGGAAGACAGCCACTGAAGGCCAAGCATGTTAATTTTCTTTTTCTGCAGAATTCCTCCTGAACTGTCACAATTAATTTCATTCTCCAGCACAACCCTAGTTCTAGAAAACTTACATTTACATACTGAATGCAATATTGCTTATTCTGGCACTTTGCCTTTTCAAAGCAAAACACATGACATGGGAGACAAATACCAAGGCAAATTCTTGGGAAAAATTTATCTGAACGAGATCTAATTTCAATGTTAATGGTGATGGTGATGGTGATAGTGATGCTGGTGGTGATGGTGCCAGGAATATTTTAAAATAAAATGAGTTTGAAGAAGACGCTCAGCCATCACCAATGATGATGTTTAGTTGGGTAACTAAGAAAAATGGAAACGCTGAGAAATGAAGAACCTCCTATGACCCAAATTTCTAAAGTATAAAAAAATAACCATAACTGTCATGAGTACTCATTTGCATATTTTTTGTATATAACTATGATGAACATATTATATATCCCTAAGAAGATGACAGAGCAATAGAAAGGGGTGGGGGGGAAGCCACAGATTACAAAATAATGAAAAAATCCTTACACTTATCATCATCATCTTTAGAATATAATCAAATCATCATCATCTTTAGAATATAATCAACAACCTGCAATCACCCAAAGACAAATAAACCTGATTGAGAAGTGTCCCTTACTACTATACATATTTCTGCTCATATTGTGATGGCAAAGATTTGTAAAATGATAACAATAATAATTACAATAACTGATCGCTGCCATTCATGATCACACTCTGTCTTTATTTTTCAATAACTGTTTTTTGAATATTTAATCTCCATCAGGCACTCTATAAACATCAGCATACAAAGATGAGCAAAGCCAGGTCCTCTCCTTCAAGGAGTGCATCCTTCAAGTGTGTGGTTGGAGATGTTCTCAGAGATACTGGCTTATTGATTACTGAGCACCATGCACTTCACACTTATTATCACATGTAGTCACAATAATCCAAGCAGACCCATGTTAGGAAACGGTTACAGGATACCAGGGCAGGAGGAATAGGGAAACTGAGACAGGAAAGCTAAAACAAGGTCAAACAGTGTGGGCAACTTGCAGTTGTAACTAACAAGCCATTATCTTCCCCAGCCCAGGACAGGAGAGTAAATTTGGTTAAACAACAATAACAACAAAAAACACTTCGCTAAAGAGAGAATGCGGGGGGGGGGTGTAGAAAAGAAAGGGCAGTTTTACTCCCTAAGCAGAGAAGCCAGCAGTCTCAAGGCTTGGTAAGATAAAGTTGCCAGGTGCTTCTCGTGAATTCTGGGAAGGCCACAACAAATTACAAAAAGAGACCTTTAGAATGAACCTGTACCAAAATCGTCAACAGAGGAACTTTGAGACCTATAGGCAGGAGGGCATATAACATCTCAGACCTGCACCCAACCTGTTCTTCAGAGTAGCTGACAGCCTGTCTGTGCTTCATAAGGTTTGCTTGCTTCCCACCCCCCCCCCGCCCCCATAAAGGTGCATGCTTTAATTGCTTTAATAAACTGGCTGTTCCCAACTTTGGTCACATGACCGAAGTTGGGAACAGCCCCCTCCCACTGACACAGGGCTGTCCGGTTGTAACACCTCTCTGATGTCGATGAGAGGTGCTTATAACAGAACCATCAGACTGAGTACAGGAGATGCAGACGAACCCAAGTCAAGAAATAGCAACTTGCATTTGTAAGAATGGATATGTCCAGGCAACTGGTGAAGCCTGAGGAAAGAGAAAAGTGAGTTCTGTTTTGGATAAAGAGTGATGGGAAATCAGAGAAACATTTTGTTTTGTTTTTAAATATATTTTTTTATTGATTTCAGAGAGGAAGGGAGAGGGAGGGAGGTAGGGAAGTAGGGATGGAGAGGGAAGAAGAGGAAGGGAGGAAGGGAGGGAGAGAGGTATGGAGGGAGGTGGGGGGGAGAGAGAGAGAAAGAGAGAGAGAGAGAGAGAGAGAGAGAGAGAGAGAGAGAGAGATCAATGATGAGAGAATCATTGATTGGCTGCCTCCTGCACTTCCCACACTGGGGATCAAGCCCACAACCCAGGTATGTGTCCTAACCTGGAATCAAACCCTGACCTCTTGGTTCATAGGTCAACATTCAACCACTGAGCCACACTGGCTGGGCTCACAGCAACTTTTTGAAAAGAAAAAAAAAAATTACAAAAAGGAAAAATAGAATTTGCTTAATTAAGCCTTTTCTTGTCCCTGCTTGCAAATAGTTGAGAGCAGAAACTAGAAAGAAGGCAAGCTGCTACAAGGCTGGCGCCTCATCTCTCTGGACTGACTACACCTGCAATGGGATGGTAGGTGAATTTACAGTCAGAATGTAGGGGAATGTGGACTGGAGAGAGCACAGTCAAGAAGGCAGAAGTAAAGCCTGGCCAATGTGGCTCAGTGGTTGAATGTCAACCTATAAACAAAGGAGGTCATGGTTCAATTCCCTGGTCAGGGCACATGCCCCGGTTGTATGCTCAGTTCCCAGTGAGGGGCAAGCAGGAGGTAGCCAATCCATGATTCTCTCTCATCTGATGTTTCTCTCTCTCCCCCCCTCTCCCTTCCTCTCTGAAATCAGTAAAAATATATTTTAAAAAAGGAAAGAAGGAAGAAGTAGCTGTTAGATATGGAAGCAAAAGATAAAGGTTCATTAGCAATTCAACTTTGAGAGATCAAAGAGGATGGCAGTGAAATTGGGAAGAGAAGACAAAGAAGGAAATGATGAAAAAACAATTTGGGTGTCAGTGAGACTTCTGGGCAGAAAAAATGCATAGATGCAATATACGGACAAAATAAAAAGGCGGAGGGGACTGGAGCTATAAAATAGAACTCAGAGTCACTCATCTACAAAGGTCTTTTTAAATCTGAATTGCAAATTCATAGTTGTACCAGGGCCATGAAGATAGCATGAGGGAGCAAAGCAGAGGTCAGCCATAGAAGAAATCAAATGCCAACGGAAACAGCTCTATCCAGCTCCAAGTGATATTTGACATAGAAAAGTATGGCCCCTCGCAGTCAGATCTTCTAATTTTCTTGTTTCCAGAGAAGCCATAGAACTGATAGAAGTCACATTCTATCTAATAAAAGGGCAATATGCAAATTGACCCTAACAGCAGAATGACCAGAACGACTGCTGGACCAGTCATTATGAGGCTCACTGACCACCTCTTGGTCTCCGATCACTTGATGGCCACCTGCAGCTCGAGTGGAGCCAGCAAGCAGGCAGGAACAGTCCACCTCTCTGACCTTTTCCCCATCCATCAGGCACCGATCACCCAATGGCAAATGGGGAGCTAGGGGTGGGAGGCAGCAGGGTGCAGGGCAGGCTGCCAGCAGCTAGGGAAGATGGTCCTGACCGCAGGCCAGGCCTCGGGACTGCACCCAGGCACAAATTTTGTGCGCCAGGCCTCTAGTTTATCAATAAAATACTGTTGACCAATAATTTTCAACACCCACAAAAAAACTTGAAACTAATTCCAGAAGCTATCTAAGAAGTTACACATACACTTCGGAAGTGGGAGCCATTTTGATTTATGTTTCTGACACTTTTTCTGCTGTCAAAAATGAAATGAACAATCAGAAAAATCACTGTTAAAACAATAGTTGTGTCACTCTATGCTGACAGCAGCCAGTGGAAACTGCTAAGTTTCCTTCTCCTCTACCTTTCACCAGCTTTCTTCAACCTTTCTCAGTCCATCAAAGAGCAGGACTTTGGCTAAGGAGCAAACCATGTAATAAGGATGTCCTATGTTTTTGGCTATTTTCTTGTGAAGAACTTCATTCCCCAGTGGGAAGTATGGTGTAGTCTCGGTGCATTTCTGAAAAGGGCAGAGGTCTTCTTCAACTGCTATGTCTAGCAATGTTGGTCATTTAAGTTGGCGTTACCAGCCATATAGCCAATATTTTTTAAAATAAGCAACAAAAGCACCAAGGGAACTTTTAAACAATTATATTAAGTGGTGATGTTTCAAATAACACACTTCGCTTTTTAAAAGTAGTAGAGGCATAATGTAAGGCAACTAGAGAGTGCTTTCTTAACTATTTTTGGTTCTATTCCAAAATAAGCACTTTGCATCAGCCCTTAGGACAGTAAGAATCTCAAGAAAATGCCTCATAAAGGGTTTGGAAAGCACACAACAGAGCAAATGAATGGACCTTTACACATAATAAAATGGTTTAAACAGGGGCATTAAATGTAACGTCAGCACCAAACACCACAGGTTGGGGGCAATGCCATTCTAATCCACTAAATGTCCCTGCATAGCAAACAAGGCAAAATCAAGGAGGAAATCACAGCGAGTTATAGAGCTTCTTGTGACTAATATGGGTCCTTGTAAAGGCAATTCTGATGCTTTTAGTTTAAGAAAATACGAGTCAGAGCTACCTGCTGCTAATTATTGTTTACTTTCTTCCAATACATACAAAGCTGGTCTCTTTCATT